GTTATGCATGATTGTAATGTATGGCCCCGTGAAGATTTTTAGCGGGAATTTGGGTAACTCGGGGACTGGGAGAGCTGGGAACCTGGGGTTTCAAGCGTGGGCATTGACTTCCCGGAATTCGAGGATCGGTATCTCAGAGGTTTCTAGCTAGCGGAATTTCAAGTGATCTTATTGCAGCACGAAACTGCAAAAACGCATGATCGCATGGGTCCGCCCAGTGCGCGTCACCAATGATTTTTTTACTGACGTCATGCTCGACTGAACTATCAAGATAAAATCATCTACTGAGTGAAGATTTTTGGATTTAATTCATATAACATAAAGTTGGGCTATCTAACTGCATGTTAGTTATATGAAATAAAACTGGACTATAATTATTTATGTGTAGTTTGGCATATGTTGCCACGTCTAAACATTAGTATGGATTTCAAACTTGACGCTTCTCTCATCATGTCCTCGTACAAAGGCTATACAGCAAGCAGATATTAAGACTTGGCTTATCTCGACTTGGTCAGGTTGGATCGCGAGCTGCGGCGTGGTATGATGCCGTCTTGGGGCAGCAGGATAGGAGTAGGGTAGAAGTGGATGAGGAGAAAAGACCAGGATGCTATTTTAGGTGGAGAAGAAGAGGACGGGGAATTGTGGGATATTGACTGGAATAGAGCTGTAACCTTCTTGGAGATAGGAATTGGATGCAAAAATAGGGGCTATGGGCGGAAAGAGGCAGACTTAATGGACCGAAACATTTCTTACCTAATTTATTATTTCCATTTATATTTTCACTTGTTCATTCTTTTCATTTACCTCATCATCTCTTTTTACTTTTTCTAGTCGCATTTTTGCTTACCCTTAAATCAGGTTTATGATGCACTATCGGGTTCACAGCGCCAGGATTCTTGAACGCAGTCCAGCATCTTGGGAATAAATAGGGGAGATGAGATCATCGGTATATGGGTCATTTCACTGTTTTGTGTCTCTTCAAATTATGAAGCGTTCTGCACAACAGTGCATCGCATTACACTTTATCATTTGTCGTTATTGAAAGGGATTCACCCATTTCATGCTTCATTCGTTCTTTTCCATGTACTCTTTTTTGACTAACATTTTTGCTTTTATATAACGCCGAAATTTTGCTTTTTTCCAGAGCAAGAAATTGTTCGGGCAAATGAAAAAATGTCCGCTGCTAAGAAGGAGTTGTCAGTTGCAAAAGGAATTCGGAAGAATAAGGAGGAATACGAGCTGCTAGCAAATATGATCGAAAAAGTGCCTTCGCGATCGCAAACTAATAAGTATATTTTTTCCCGTAGTGAATTTTCTTTTTCTTTGGCGCCGCTGTATTTATTTTAATTGTATTAGATATTCAGGAATTTAGGGTCCGAGTTTTAAAATATCTTATTATACATGACACCTAATTCCAATCTTCTTACTCCATTATTATAACTTTTGTAGGGTGGGCAAGAGTAGAATTTATTTTCTACAAAAGTTGTAAGCACCGGAAAACAGCCCGAGTGAACAGTAGATGTCAATTAACAGTCCTCCCCTGGCAAGACTGTCGATGGCCCTCTCTTTTGCGAATTTCTTAGAAGCAAGCTGATGGCTGTTTTGACTCCTTGGCACGCCACTAACAGTTCATCATTAGGACAGATAAATTTAAAGTTAAGGTAGAAAATGTGGAAAAGAAAAGAAGGAGAACGAATTGAAAAAAAAAAATATATGTAATTGATAAGGAATGTTTCGGTCCATTAAGTCTGTGTTCGGCCAAAAAAATTTCTGTATTTACAAAAAATTCGATTTAATGCGCGTCATACTTGCAGAAAATTGGAAGCAATCAAAAAAGAACTTGAAGAGCTTCATGGAAAGCAACGGAGTTTAGAAGCAAAGGTTACTTTTTGTAGTACGGTACAGCTTCTAGTCAGCAAATCTTTTTTTTTTTTAGCTAATAAAAGCAGTTCTTTTTTTCAGTTGGCAGACAGGCGGAATCATTTGCATGCTTTCAATGTCATATTAGCAAACTTCTGCCGATTTTTGAAAGGTATGTGTTTCGATCTGGAATTGAAATTTTTCTAGTTTTTCTAGTTTTTTTTTCTAATTGAAGTTTTTCTAGTTTTTTTGAAGTTTTTTTTTCTTTCAAATGAGATTTTTTTTTTTTTGTAGTTTGGTTTTCTTAGACGCTACAGAGATTCTTTACTGATGAGACATTTAGAATCTTGCGTTTGGTTCATTCTGGTATATTTAGGAGTCCTTTTTACCAAACACAGCTTTTGCTACATACTTCCAGCGTTTCGTGAGATAAGAAAGAAGAATTTGAAATTTATTTTTTCGCAAATTTTGAATTTCTATTTAAACTGGTTTTGTCTATTCTTTTAATTAAATTCTGTGTAAAATTTTCCTCGTTATCTGGCTGTTTTAGAGTGTCTTATGAATGAATATATCCTTGATTCTACCACTAATATGTCTTCACTTCATTACGTTGCAGATGAAGAAGGCGATGAAATGTGTGTGGGTGAAGTGCTGGATGGCTCTATTGCGGACATTAAGACGGAAAAATCATGATCTCAATTTTAGCTATGTATTA